CACCGAGAACGTCCATCAAACTCCATCTTCCCTCCCCGCAACAAAGCCAATCTGGGTCCTCCCACGACTGATTCTCACGTCTGCTTCCAACCACCTCCGGCCTCCGAATCCACCGATACCCAATTCTTTGACACGACAAGACTCGACATCAACAAACCCACGACGACATCACCCGCCGCCACGCAGTATACCGCATTTCTGCTGCGCCAAAACCAAGCGACCGCCGCGCTCGACGACTCCATTATTCCGCTCTTCACCAACCCCGAAGACCCGACCACCGATACTCATCTGGCCGACGTTCAATTGCCGGGACCCTAACCTACTTTTCCCGCAGCACACGACGGTCTCCCCTCACAACTCCTGACATAAGTCTACTGGTCCATGACAGGAGGCCGAGGATTGTGACGCGATATCGCACCCCCGACCGTATGCACCGGTGGCACTACTTAAGCCGGCGCCTCGGGAGAGAAAAGTACAAGTTGGACGGCTGAACGAACCACACACTGGTTGCGACTTGACAACATTCGACGACTTTTTGCACCCCACCACCACCACTATCGACCGATACGACACGACACGAAGACTGGCCCACGAACGACGACAAAGGTCCTTGGGACACCGATGCGATCGCCATGGAGGCCTTCTACCCACAGCTCACCCCTCAAGAGCTGCAGCGACAGATGTCGCAACAGTCTCAGCAACGTCAGATGCAAGGCCAAGGCCAAGGGGGCGGTCACGGCTACCACCAAATGAACCAAGGTCATGGTATGTCAATGGTGGGCGGCAACGGCGACTCGCTCGACGACATTATCAACAATAACAATCATGAACTGCAACGGCGCCGCAGCATACACCAACCATACATGCCCCCAAACCAGAATACCCAAGACGCCGGCGCCGACAGGAGGATGTCCATGATGGAATTCGGCGCTGATGACAATCAAATGCTCAACTATCCCTTTCAAAACCCGACCATGAACGGCGAATTCTCTAATATGGCCGGCCAATTAGGCAACGGCATGGATAGCGGCATGACGAACAATGGAGGGATGAGCAACAGTGTTCCGGGCAACATTTCCATACCTGGAGGCATGGAGGCGTACTCGACTCAAGACGGGCTGCAGATGTCACCGACAAATGCATTCACCACCTTTTCTCCCGATATGATGAGCTCGATGATGCCCCCGGCGTACGATAACATGGGCATGCCGACTACGTCAAGTATGAATATGTATGGCCAAACATCCATGGCCAACGCTTTTCCGAACCCTCTAAACACCACCGCCAACGACATGACCATGGATCTAGGGGCCGATGAAACACCCGGAACAGCACCACAGTCTGCCCTCGACACGCCACTAGATATCGACAACGCCGACAACGAGGCTTTAAGTATGAGTCAGCAATACCAAACACCCGCAGACAACTCGAACAGACCGATTGCCCAAGTGCCCAAATTCGGCTCTGTTTCAAGCGGTCCTCAGACAACTCCGTCATCATTATCCCGCGAGGTGTCAACCAACTCTGGTCAGACTTCTTCGCAGTCCCCACATAACCAACCATCATCCATTGCAACGAGCCAGACAGCAGCCTCTGCCGCACCTCCCGCAACCGCAGAGACTACTCCAGCCATGGGCCCTCAAACGCCTCGTGCAGAGTCCAAGGAGAAGAATGTCTATTCAAAGAGCGGTTTCGACATGATGCGGGCGTTATGGTATGTCGCTACAAGAAAGGACCCCGAGATCCATCTAGGCGCCGTAGACATGTCCTGCGCGTTCGTGGTCTGCGATGTCTCACTGAACGACTGCCCGATTATCTACGTTTCCGATAACTTCCAAAATTTGACGGGTTACAGCCGACATGAAATTGTTGGCCAAAACTGTCGATTCCTGCAGGCCCCCGACGCCAAGGTCGAAGCTGGCTCCAAGCGTGAATTCGTGGACGACGCGTCAGTCTACAATCTCAAAAAGAAAATTGCAGAAGGCCGCGAGGTTCAGCAAAGTTTGATCAACTATCGCAAGGGCGGCAAGCCTTTCCTCAATCTCTTGACAATGATTCCGATCCCGTGGGACGACCCCAACGAGGTGCGATTCTTCGTTGGCTTTCAAATCGATCTCGTTGAATGCCCAGATGCCATCTCTCAGGGCCAGGACGCTGGAGGTGTCAAGGTCAACTACAAACACAGCGACATTGGCCAGTACATTTGGACACCCCCGAATCAAAATACCATCGAGGCCGAAAATGGACAGACGCTGGGTGTAGACGATGTGTCTACCCTGCTACAGCAATTCAACCCCAAGGGTGTGGTGTCGGACTGGCACAAGCAGTCCTGGGATAAGATGCTTCTCGAAAATACCGATGACGTTGTTCATGTGCTTTCACTCAAAGGGCTGTTCCTCTACCTGTCACCTTCTTGCAAGAGGGTTTTGGAGTACGATGCGACAGAGCTGGTAGGCAACTCCCTATCGACCGTATGCCACCCGTCCGACATCGTGCCCGTCACCCGTGAACTCAAGGACGCCACGGCGGGCAATTCAGTCAACATTGTCTTCCGCATCAGGCGGAAGCAAAGCGGCTACACGTGGTTTGAAAGCCACGGCTCATTATTCTTCGAGCATGGAAAAGGTAGAAAATGCATCATTCTGGTAGGGAGAAGACGACCCGTTTTCGCATTGAGCCGGCGAGACCTCGAGGCGCACGGAGGCATTGGCGACAGCGAATTATGGACCAAGATCTCGGTATCCGGCATGTTCCTCTTTGTGTCTTCTAACATTCGGTCCTTGCTCGACTTGCAGCCAGACACCCTGATAGGCACCAGCATGCAGGAGCTCATGCGCAGGGAGAGTCGTGCCGAATTTGGCCGAGCGATCGAAAAGGCAAGGAGAGGCAAAATAGTGACGTGCAAACACGAGGTTCATAACAGGAGAGGGCAGGTACTTCAGGCACAAACCATTTTGTACCCTGGAGATGCCTCAGACGGTCAGAAGCCCACGTTCTTATTAGCGCAGACCAAACTTCTCAAAGCATCGTCGAGGAGCATCGCACCGGCGGCGACACCCCCTGGAAGCGTCAAATCGACCTCACAGATCAACCAGAACGTGCAACTCGCAACACAGAGCACCGATCTCGTAAAGGCTGGGCCGTTGTCACTACCGGGCAGTCAAGCGATGCGGGGCTCGCAGGATGCTGCTCTAGCCTCGGATGACAACATTTTCGACGAGCTGCGAACGACAAAGTGCTCCAGCTGGCAATTCGAGCTCCGCCAGATGGAGAAGGTTAACAGGATTCTTGCCGAAGAGCTAGGCGGCCTATTATCGAACAAGAAAAAGAGAAAGAGGAGAAAGGGAGTAGGCAATGTCGTTCGCGACTGTGCCAACTGCCATACACGCAATACGCCCGAGTGGCGACGAGGTCCTAGTGGTCAAAGAGACCTCTGTAACAGCTGCGGTTTACGCTGGGCAAAGCAGGTGAGAAGCGCCGAGCCCTCTGTAGTAAGCCGAGTGGAGGACGACGATGTTAATCAGGATTAGGTTGGACGGGTTTCACCGCGCAATTCGTCTCGAGGAGGCGCAAATACCAACGCAGACGCACTCAGCAAGAAATCGAACTCGCCAATACACTCGTCTCAGCTACAAAACGAAGTCAAGGCCAGCAGCAGCACGCCAGCCAGACCCAGCGACAGCTCAGGGAACGGCACACCCGCCACTTCCGTTTCCGTCTCTAAAAGTCACCAAGGCATGCCTCCTCCGAGCCAACCTCTTATCGGAGGCGGTAGTGGCGGCGGAATGGCATCCATACGTGAATAACGAGAGAGCGATGATGCTCACTCGTCCATCTATTTATCTTGCTCAGAACTCACATACTATTGCTCCAAACGAACGCCCTTTCTGTCGAGATACCATTTTACTTTCGTTTCCCAAGGTCTTGTGGCGGTGGCCTGGTATTACCTAGTTCCTAGGACTGGCGCCAATAAAGATGGTTGATTACACCCCGGCGATTTTTTTCTTGAACATTTCTAGGACTTTTGACATTTTCTCTACGTCAGGTATACGAGGCGTCATAGATCGGGGTTCAGAACGCAAATCTTTGCTATTCGGGTGATTACTAGTCACTCGCTTTTACGGCCGGAACTGACCAGCTTGCGATACCACACCGACATGATTTTGGGTAGATTGGCATCGCATGTTTCTACTTACTTCCTGGAGGTGCGAAAGGACAGCAAAAGAAAAGCAGCCCTTCCTGTACCCCAATGGTTGGTTACCTGGTCTGGGATCTTTCTATATGGGAGGTGCTGGCCAAGGATGATTTTGCGAAGCGGAATGGGCTTAGAAATGAAGCGATCAAGCGTTTATGAAAGGCCGGATTGGTTGGAAGAGGTGTTTTCCCCCTTCGTATTTTGTCTGTATCCTTTCACACCTTCCCTCTCACGTTTGTGATTATTATCGGGATGAACCCGCTTGATATCAAAGGTGGTGGTGGGCTTGGGGAATGGTGAATGATTAAGGTAGACGAGAGATGGGTGAGGGGATGCGATTCATCGGCCATCGACCTTGGTGTTAGCCATTTTATATGAAACGGAATGTAGCTGAATGAGACATACCCCATGGATTTTGTTTGTATAAAAGCTTTTGTATATCTCTCGTGGACGTGATGGTTTATATCTAAAGTGAGTTCTGGACTATGGCATCAGTGACATTGCCTCGATCTCCAATCCAGTTGTTACTATGATGCATTCTACGCACCTCTTCAAGGCGATGATGGTGCCCAAGACTTACTGCGAGTACTTGACCGTGCCGTGGTAAGTTCCTCGTCTCTTTTCAAGCCTCGTTTAGACCTCGAAACTACGTTCAATGAAACAAGTAACAACAGGTCGTTTGACTTGTACCAACTGATTCGGGTAAGATGAAAATGATTATATCATTGAGCTTGCTCTATTACCGGCCAAGGACGCTTTCCCACGAAAAGTTCACAGAGCGTATAGCCAGCGTGATCGGTCTGTATCATTTTGTGACTTGCGAGACTGCGCGTACACTGAGATGGCTGTTGTCGTATCCAGTCTGCTCCTTGGATTTCATGCCAGAGTACTGAGAGACGAACGTTGAGAAAATAGCTGGGTATATTCACCCAAGCAGGCGGCGAGATTTATATACTTGAACAGACTGAACAAAAAGGAAAGCACAGAAATAGAAACGAAAACCCAAGCCCAACACAACACAACACAACACAATCACGGCAAACCTCACTCACGACACTTAAACAAACTCATCAAACACCGTCCTTCCCCTTCCCCTCTTCACCCCCGTCCCCTCCAGCCCTCCCACTATCATCCCTCTCCCAAAACCTCTCCATCCCGCGATTCCTCCCCTTCATCAACCCCCTCACGTCAAAGGGATCAACAACAGTCACCCAAAACGCCCTTGGATCCTTCCACCCGGGCCCTTGCACCTCCGTAACCCCGTCCGGCGCAAGATACACCGAATACCGCTCCGGCAAATACCGCCTCGGATGCCGGACGTTAAACATGCAGACGTTGGCCAGCATCAAACTTGCCTCAAAGACGTAAAAGAACCACTCGTAGCGTATCGCCGGGGGTATATCACCCTCTTTCGTCTCAGCGTCGAAGCGGACTTTGGCAAGGCTGAAGTATTCTACGACGCGAAAGAAAGTCCTCGCGGAGATGAGCCCGACGCTGACGTACAGCGTCACCATCGGGCCCTGTACGCCTCGAACAGACGCTACGCCGGCGGCTGCGCACCGCCGGTGGAAGACGATGGCGAGGGCCACGAAGGAAGCGAGGACGAAGATTTGCAGGAGCAGGCTCGTTTTTATCAGGGCGTGGCCTGTTTCTAGTTCGCGCTGGGTGAGGGACTGGTTTGCAGAGTAGGACGCGCCCCACCCGTTGAGGGCCTCGACGATGCTGGAGAAGAAGGCGAAAGTTGTGAGGACGCGGCCTGGGTGGAGGGGGGAGGCGTAGGGGACGTAGTAGAGGACGCGGCCTAGGATGTTGTAGTTTGCTAGTTCGAGGAGGGGTCTGTCGAGGAAGTATTGGGAACGTGAGTTGAATGTGTCTTTTTTTTTTCATGGTTGATTTGAGAGGAAGCGATTTATATATACTTACGGAGCTGCGTAGATGAGGCACACGCTCGCGATGAAGATGTTGAGGTTGTCGTAGTGCCACGCGCCGTACGTGCGGACGGCGAAGCCGGCTGTAAAGAGGAGGCAGCAGAAGGAGAAGAGGGCGGTGACTTTGAAGAACTTGTAGTGACTAGATCATCACGTCACCTTGAAATCAGCAAATTCACTCTTCCCTCAGGTGACTGCCTGGGCTGGCTGACTTGGTCGTTTGCTTTCTAGAGTCTGGACCAGGAGAATGGATGAGATGAACAGACTTACTAGCTCTGCCAAAAGTGAAGTATACCAGAGGCAGCAAAAGCTACGGCGAAGAAGATGGGTGCTGCTTTGTTCGGAGCGTAGAAGTAGTAGCTCCCGTCAACTTTTTGTTTTTTTTTGTAAGTAAGAGGGGTCTGCTGAAGGGGAGGTTATCGATTCCTACCATATTTGCCGTCCTCCATGTTTTGTTCCAATATTCCCCAAGTTTGGCCAATTTCTAGGATTTTCTCGCTTGTAGTCACTATAGATTCAGCTGTAAGTAAATCCTGGGAAGCGGCAAAATATCATAGCCTTCAGAAACGGGCTGCAATTTATAGTCCCGAGATATATGATCTGAAGACAAGGACTTCGGTCCCACGTTCATTTATACATTTACAGTATTAGATACCATACGCACTTAGTCTAAACACGCCCTTCGTCCATCAGCAGAAAAATATGCACTTTCACATTCGGTAATCTTCCAATTGTCCACTACGTATGCCTCGAAACCGTAACCCGAAGAATACGCTCGCCAAGCACCACCCCCCAAGATCAGCCTCACGAGGCGTCCACATCAACCAATCGCATCCATCCCTCAAATACGACGCGCGCAGAAAGATGACCCGACTGACAACACCTCGACACACCCACGAAAGAGCTAAGCTTCATCAACGTCGCCGTGCTCATTCTTGATTCGACGACGATGGGGAATGTCTTTTTTTTTTTTACCTTCAAAGATTCGAGATGCCTGAATCAGCCCGGAGACAGCCTAGAGGTAAAAAGTCAAATACCTACATACCAGCATGTAGGTTGGCCCTTGTCAGCTGTCATCCCGTCGTATCTCGTGTGTTTGATCTTCATTGGGTTTCTTTGCCTTTCCCCAGTCTCTCGGTACAGCGAACGGTCGATGATCCGGAAGATGTACCCGACGCCTCTTCGCTGTCGCCGACCTCGACGGTGACTGACTCTTTTGGGGATTACATGAGCAATGCGGCATGGTGTTCTGCAAAGATGACCCGATGACGACTGTTCCAGCGTCGTAAAGTCCATTCTTCTCGTAGAGTAATCTTCTGAGGACCAGTTGTGGCGGCTTACACTCATTAGCCAAGCACTAAGGGGCGCTGTAACAAGCTCTTGAAATCGTGAAATGAATTCATCCCTGAATAGTACCTGGCAAGGCCAGCGTACTGGACTAAATGCCTCGTAATGCCAATAATAAAGTGGCCCAAAAATCCCTCAAGTGCCCTCCTATCCCTTTCCACCGTTCCCAAAAGTGTTTGTACATCAAGAGAAAGAACAGGACCCAACATGGATGTGATGCCACACATTGTCGGGATATCTGCACGCGCGAAACCTCTGCAGATCCAAGGCCCGTTCCGTGCAGTTTGCTTCCTTTATTCTCTCTCTCTCTCTCTCTCTCTCTCAAAAAAGAAGAACGCCCAAAAAGGTTTCCATCCTAGATGCACTTCCTGACGATTAAAGCATACAGTGGTCATACATGAAATCATTACAGACTGATGTCTCGTGGGGTTTCATCAGTCGACCTCCCACCCGCGACCCGTTCCGTTCGCGTTGTCAGTGGCCTCGTCATTCTCACCGTCGTCGGTGCCAATCACGCTATTCGCACGCGATGACTCGACTTGGCTGAGATAGTAATCGTCGTTCTCGCCCCAGCTATCGTACTCGTCGTCAGAATAGTCCCATTGCACGGGGATCGTCTCGCCGCCCTCGCCGAACCCGAACATCATACCGCGCCACTGCCCGGCGGCAATCTTAGCAGCCACCTGAAGCATCAGGGCGATGAGATGACTCGGCGGACCCAGGAGAACCTCGCAAGTCTTGGATACGATGGCCATGGGGAGTCTGCGGACAAGTTCCAGGCGGCTTCTCAGGGGGTGGTACCTGGCCTGGGTGCTCGTGGGCGCAAAAAGGTTAGCCGCTGTCGGTAAAGGAGAGAGCGCTCTGCGGCCGACGGAAATGCTGCTGGTGGTTGATCTGTGTCGAATGTACGGGCGACGCACGACAGCGGTGGTTGCTGCTTCATCCTCGGAAAGAGCAACCTTGTCAGGCTGCTCAACCGCTTCATAGACCATATCTGGCGCAGTAGCAGCGCTCTCTAGCGAGCTGTCGTCGGTAAGAGACGAAGTCGCATCCCAAGTTCGTCGAGTCTCCGGGGTGACAGTCAGATCGGAAATGTCGCGGTAGTGCCAAGGCTTTTTAGGGATCAAAATATTATCGTGAGGGTATGGGAACCTCGTCGGAGACACGTCTGAGATAGGAGACCTTGGGACAGGCGTAATTGGCGACTGAGCGGGGGAGTGCCATGACTTTGAACTGTGGAACGAATCGGTAGAACCAGTTGGCGAAGTCGCTTCATCCAGAATCGGAGTCAATCTCATAGCCGACTTGGACGGCGGCGAGGTGACGAGGGTCAACTGTGGGGGAACCAGAGCCCTGCCGGCCCTGAATCCGCGAAGCTTCTTTCTTCTGCCACCCACAACCCCGCTACCCTCGAGAACTGCCTCTTCGTCGGTCGCGGACTGTGATTCGCTGCTTGACCCATTTCCGCTGGTGTTCCCCGTCTCTACCGCTGATTTCTCGCAAGCAGCCTCAGGCGCAGCAACAGGTTCGGTGGCCGGCGTAGACTCGGGAACCGCAGCGGCCATCTTGATCTCGTAGTTCCGGATCACGTCATAAATATTGGTGGGCGTGGGTGTGCTTGCCTCAGCCGACAGAGGTGTCTTGGGCAATGCTTCCACGGTGACGAGCTGTTCTTTGATATCGTTTTGCAGCCGGCGATCAGTCACTTGCCGCCCAACAGTCACCGCATTCTCTACCTGGATGTCAGTCTTGCTCTCCTTTGGTTGGGCCAACGAGTCGTCGATATTGACAGAAACTTGGGGAACCTCAGGGTCCCGGGCGTCCTCTTCGCGATCGACCGTCTCCGTTGGAGGTACTGCCACAGGTGCATGTAGCGGGGCTGCATTCGACACTGGCGAGACCGAAGCGGCAGTCACCTCCATGCCGGCGTTGTTTTGTGCGCCAATATCGCTATTCACAACTTGTACTCCTGATGACTTTACTGAAGGCTCCTCAGCGGGAGCCGTCAAATCTGTTTGACAAGCCTCATCTTCGGGTTCCACTTCCTCGGCGATTGAGTCCTCGAATATGGCTTCCTCATGACTCCCCTTGAGCTTGGCTTCTTCCATCTTGACCAGATCACATGCAGTGCTTTCCTGTGCAGTCACCTCTTCAGCCGTTTCCTTGCTATCAATATTGCGGGTTGTCTCCGCTCCACGCTTCGGAATCTTCAGTTCGGTTGCAACGGCTCGTCTCTCGGCCGTGGGAGTTAGGGCGGCATCCGTGGGCTCTGCCGCTTTCGGTATTTCGGCACTAGGTTCACGGGATCTTGAGCTTGAGTGAAAGTCATTGCTGACAGTGGACAGCCGGCGTTGCTCGCTTCGGCCACGGAGAGAAGATGTCGAGGCTCTCCTGCCAGTGTTGGGAGTGAGAGCCTTTGGGGTCGGTGATACCTCGACTTCGTGAGCTGGGGTTGAAAGGACAGGTAGGGCTCGTTTGACCGGGGGTGTCCATGGTCGCTTTTTCACGGGTGTCTTTGGTTTCTCGGGGAGGATGACTGTAAATGACCGTTTGAAAGGGCATTCCGTCTTCTCGAATTGCAATATTTGATCCCAAACACCCTTCAGTGCCGCAGCTAGTTCCTGTTCATCGGCGTTGGTGACGGGGATTTCAATCCTCCAGTAGTTGGGTCGGCGAATTTGTAGGACGAATTTGCTGGAGTCTTCGGCTAGAGCCCAGCATTGGCTTTTGGGCAACATTGGCTGCAGAGCAGAGCCGCAGTTCAAAAAGGCGACGGATCCTGTACGGTATATTCGGAACGGCCCTGTTGAGATGGCCCCCAATCAGCAATGGCTATGAAAACGTTGATGGACTTGCGCAACTTACCAATGGCAATTGTTCTCTCGAGCTGCGAGTGGGCGGATAAAGAGCCGGGCTCGTCTGAAGGGCCACGACCTGGACTCCTAGCTCGGCCTCTGGAGGCAGCAGCGAATGCTACGATCTTGACATTGGGGTGGTTGTATAGTGTCTCGACGAGACCACCGGCCGATGTGGACGGTGCCGGGCGTGTCATGTGTGCTGGTATCGGGGCAGTTGCGACGCGGCGAGGTGCCGGATAGGCAGGGCGCAGAGATTCCATCGTGGTATCCCTATGGAAAGGGAGAGTGTGGGAGCTCAGCCAGAGGAGAGCAATGTCGTGACGTACGTGCGGGAACTATCAGCTGACGGGCGAGTGCTACGAGTCGGACCTGGGTCATGTCGAAGCTGACACCGAGTACATGACAGGCCTTGGGAGGGGAAAGTTATCGTCGGAGGTGACGTTCGTTTGCGTTGTAGATTTCCGTCGCGTCGGTTTAGCGCGCCGGCCTTGGTCGAGATAAAAGGGTGGTGCAAATCGACAGCAAAGGACTGATATGCTGGCCGTAGCAAGGGGGTAATTTTTTGAGGGATCCGAGAAACGAGCAAACAGACGGGCCCAATGCAGCGGCGCGGAAGGACGTGGACCCCCTTTTGAGCCGAGCGAGAATCGGCAACCTAGGAAATACAATGTCTTGCTCCGGTCTCAGTACCCTTCAGATGAAGAAGAAACACTTGTGCCACCACACGATAGGTAGCGAATGGAAGGGAAGAAGAAGAGGATGGGTGTGTAGAATGTCCCCGGAGAAGCGAATGAGGAGAGGAGGAGCAAGAGGAGGGACGGGAAGGCGGATGTAGTAAGAGGAAGGGAGAAAGAAAAAAGGTTTTTGATAATTGAGATTGAGGCAGGGCGACAGGGAGGGGGGGGGGGGCCGCGGCGGACGTGGGTGAAGTGATGGATGGATGGACAAAAAGATGAAGCTTGGACGGATTTGGGATTTGCTCATGGTTCGACCAGGGGTTAACGATGTCACGGCTTCTTGGGGACTCGTTCGAGGCTTTGGAGGAAACACGCGCCCGACTGGGGGGTTCTGACGCTACCGGTTTCCTGAACCATCACGTCGCCGTTTGATAGCGATGGGACACCCCCGCGCCCCGCACCCACCGTCCTTAACCACTCGACCCTGTGGCCGTACGATGAGCCTTTCTCTCTCTCCCTTTCTCCTGGATCAGTCCTTGCCTTGACGTACCTCATCATCTCACTTTACCTCATTCGAGTTGATTGCTAATACTCAAACACATAAGCAGACTCACAGGAGACATGCTGAACATGCATTGCCACCTGGTAATTATAGGAGAGACCCTCAATTCCAGTATTGCGGGAGTTTGAGACAAAACGAACTCTCTCACTCACTCAAGCGTATCATGATTGGCTTTCACATGCTCTCTCTTTCTCTTACTCGCTCACTTACTCACTCACTGTCTCTCTCATATACCTGATCTGAGTCGGTTATGCTAGATTCTCATCACCCATCTTGTTGTGATTAACTTCGCTTTGATCTCTAACTTGCCCCCTTCTTCTTATGCACGGAGACCATCTAGATAGATCTGAAGAACAAGCTAGGATGACTAGGCTCACTGAAGCGCGTGCCCTCGTGATGTGCCCGGCCCCATCTGGAGCTAACCTGGAGATTGCACGTAGTAGTCGCTTCGCGAATAAGGTGCCGCGTCCGCAAGCCATTGGGGGGTCACACCGGGGACAGCCGACGTATCCCAGCCAAAATGCGCCCTGAACTTTTTTTTCATGACTACGTACTGTCACCTGCGTATGGGGATCAATATGGGGGAGCCCAGGCGTTGTAATGTTCGCTTAGAGGAAAACGGCAAAGATGAGACGGGGCAACCTCAACATAAAATCCAGTGGAAACCTGGCATTTTCAGCACTTCATATTTGGTTACGGATACCTTTTCAGCTCCGCTTTGTATCCCTCGCCTTTGAAAAATTGAGGCTTAGAGAGCTCGTGTTGCCTCGTCATTTCGGCCCTCACCGCATTCTCAACCCGAAACTAGCTTCCGAGGTTTCCAAAAAAGCTTCGAGAGCCTCGGGTCCCCCATGACAACAGCCGCCTTATTCAATCGCAGATACGGAGTATATCACCTGGGGTTTATACCTACCCTGAAGAGCCTCAGCATGCCTGGGGGTTCACAATTCAGGGGCCTGCCATTGGTCCATTGAAAGCTCTGAGCTTCAAAGCTTCGAACTTTCGAGCTTTGAGCAATGCATGCAGGGGTTCCAGCTCTTAGCCCAGGGACGCGTTCTGGGATGCAAGTTCGACGCGTGCGCAATGCAGCCGCAGCCGCAGCAACTTGACATGAACCGGTGCCACATCTCTCAATGTTTAATCCACTTGCACCCGACCATCGGAGCTGACTGGTTCTGCGTTGATGCAATCGCCATGCAGCGCGGCCTCATGCAAGCGAATTGTTTTGCCTCAGAGGCGCCTCAATTCTGTGGTTTGGTTCAGTACCTCAAGTACCTTACCTACCGTACTATGTACCCACGGTACCTACTTGAAGCTCCTAGACTCATTTCGTATCTTATTCTTATCCGTGATATCGATAAGATAAGAACAACGCGGGGGCTTCCCGGCACTCGGTGAAGCTCGGACCACTCGACCTTCCGGATGTACCGGTTGCAGCGTCGTGAGGTGCCAGGTCTCTCAGCCACTGACCCCCGGTCTGGGTGTCGTCATCGTCTTTCCGCCACAGTCAGCTCCAGCTCCTGGCAAGTTTAGCTTGGCCAAGCAACCAGCCCTGCGCTGACGAGGTCGCAACAGCTCGCGTGCCCCTCCAAGACCCTCGACATTTTGAACCTCAACACCCGGCAACGTTCGTGGTGATCGGCATAGTCACCTCCACAACCTCGACAAACCATGGCGACCTCCGAAAAGGGTCAACGGCGTGACAAGCTTGAAGGCCAGATCGACAAGCAGCTCGACAAGCTTCCCATCGACAAGGAGAGACTCAAGCGGGAGTTCGACCTCTCCCACTTCGACCTGAACCAAATCTTGCGGGGCATCCAGTTGACGCTGGTTGGAGGTCAGTTGTTGAAACAATGCCCATGGCATCCAGACTCCAATTTCTTTGGAGTTCGTTGACATAGCTCAAAATGCTAACTGCCAAAAAGCTCAACGAGCCCTTCAAAATCCTGCCTTGTTCACTTCGGACCACTACCGACAAGCCGGCATTGCCGTCTTGAGTGGCCTTGCCATCCGTCTCGTCATCTCCATTCCCGTACGTCTACCTTACACCCCTGCGCCAGGAGCACGAGGAAACACCGAGACACTCCTATCCCCTTCAAAACAGGTATTGACACAGTGCGATAGATCATTGGCGTCAGAGTCTTTCTCTGGATTCTCTCCTTTTTCTTGAGCCTGGACCATGTCACTTGGGACGACCAGCTTGTCGGGGGCCTCAACTTCATCGAGGAATATGTTTTGCAGGTCCCCTTTTTCCTCATGGCGCTGATGCGCTACGTCACCCCGACACTCGACAATATGCAAGTCTGCATCTTACCCCCCAGCCCTTTGGGCGTTTTGCTAACGTGGAGGCAGGTTTATGGACTCGCTGAACTGGGTTGATAAGACGTACGTCCAGAAACACAAGCATGAAGACCCGACCAAGCTTCGAGACATGTACTATCCCAACCTCAAGATGTACAAGGTCAGCGACGGCAGCACCCACACGACCAGCACAGCAGAAGCCATTAGCATGTTTCTGTACCGCTTCGCTCGAAAGGGTGCCATCTCCCTCGCCGTATTCGCCCTGTCATATCTACCCATCGTCGGTAGATTCGTGCTGCCCGCAGCCAGTTTCTACACCTTCAATAATGCCGTTGGATTGGGACCTGCGTCTGTCATCTTTGGAACGGGCATCTTCTTGCCCAAGCGGTACATTGTCATCTTCCTGCAGAGTTACTTTGCGTCCAGGAGTTTGATGAGAGAGCTTCTAGAGCCGTACTTTTCTCGTGTGCACTTTACCAAGGAGCAGAAGAGGAACTGGTTCCGGAACCGCGAGGGATTATTGTTCGGCTTCGCCATCGGGTTCTACACACTGATTAAGATCCCGCTCGTTGGTGTCTTGATCTACGGTATCGCAGAGGCCTCAACGGCGTACTTGATTACCAAGATTACCGACCCTCCCCCGCCTCCCGCCGAGAAGGCTGCTTTTGCCGCGAGCCAGCAAGAGTGGACGAATAAGCACGAGTTCCTCAACCTCTCGCTCGGCGATATTGATGCCATTCACCTCAAGTCGCGGCCGGCAAACCCGACAGGCGATGCTCAAAAGCACGAGTAGCCAAATCGCAAGAGAAGGACGTGGGTGTCCGTACGTCTGTCGCTTTTCGGCGTTCGATACGCCTAATACAACGGCGTGAATCCAGATGTGCCGGGATAAGGTGACATTCTGCGGACACTTGCAATGCTCTATTCTGCAACAGTACGGGTGAAGGGGACCGACAAGGCGTAAACGACAGATGCCGAGATAAACAACCCCGGATTCCAATCAATTACGTTTTATGATAGGAGCAGTCATGCGACATGAGATCACCACGCCTTCTTATCGATTGGTGTTTGGAGAACGGCCGACGGGCGGAGCCAATGCGGGGGTTGCCAGACACAAGCCTCTTACGGTATCGGGCAAAAGCTCTTATCAGCCCGCACCCAGCTCCGCACTTGCAACTCCCCAGCAGCCACCACCACCACTACCACTCTCACACAATTGGGGATAATCCCATACTCGGGATAGATAGCCAGACGAGGCATGAGAGAAAGGCGTCTCATTCGCTGGGTGAGATAGTTCCGAGGAGGCCAGGGCGGGGTAGTTTGGAGACGTTGGCTTTGGTTGCATGTATATCTACCACACTAGGAAGCAGAATAACCTGTTCTGGCCTTCAATCTCATAACGAAAAGTGAATCCCTCACTCAATACATTGTCTTGAAATCACTTGATTAATATAATCAACTTTGCACTCAATTCTTCCACCATGGGCAAGACTGGTATCCGTACGGCCAATAAGGTCAGCTTTGATAAGCCGGCTTCTGAGCAAGCTGGCCTGCATGTAAGTGCCCAAGTGCCGTTGATGTACGTCTCAAGCATCAAGTTTATTGACAGCAAAACTAGAACAGGTGGCATCCGGACAGTGAGTGGTTTAATTGACAATAGTCCAAGCCACACTGCTCTCTAACTAGCCCACTCCTAAAGTCCCCTTCTCTGGCACCATCAAGAATGGCGAGACAGTCAAGATTGAATGCGTAGACTGGTAGATCACCCCTCTTTCTTTCACCTGCGTCCGTTACCGTTATATTCTAGAGACTCACGCAAAACACCAGGACGGGTGGCCAGATTGGCAACAACGACTCAGCGGACGACATGCTCAATGTCGACCTGACCAAGATCCACTACCTCAGCGGTCCGTTTGAGGTCGAGGACGCTCAGCGGGGTGACCTGCTCCTAGTGGAGATTATGGACGTCCAGCCGTTTGAGGATCAACCGTGGGGTTTTACGGGTGTGTTTGATAAGAATAACGGCGGTGGGTTCTTGGATGAGATGTATCCTACTGCGTAAGTCGTCTCATTGTCACGTCACATCACCCATTTTCACAAACGTGGACAGCATTACGTATTATATTTGTTGAGAGTTGTCCTCATCATCAACCTTATCCCTCCTCTCAAACCACCAAGAAGGAATGCAAAGCTAACACGCGACTGCGTAAAAAAAAAGGGCAAAAGCAATCTGGGACTTTGAAGGAATCTACTGCACCTCGAGACACATCCCCGGTGTCAAATTTGCCGGGCTCATCCACCCGGGCATCCTGGGGTGCGCCCCCTCCGCCGAGGTCCTCGACACCTGGAACGCGCGCGAGGGCGAGCTCATCGCGGCCAACAAGCTCGACCGCGACGTCGCGAAGCCGCCGGAGCCGATTAACGTGCACGCCGGCGCTGCGGATGCGGAGCTGAAGGAGAAGGTTGGTAAAGAGGGGGCTAGGACGATTCCTGGACGGCCTGAGCATGGTGGGAACTGCGAGTGAGTTTCTGAGCATTCGATTCTTTGGTTTTTACCTCCAAGGGATTTCGACGAGAAATCTTTGGGGGAGATGAGAAGACTTGGTGATTATGACGAACGAGGGTTACTGACTTTGAGGGAAACAGTATTAAGAATCTGAGCAGAGGAAGCAAAGTTTACCTCCCCGTCCACGTTCCCGGCGCCAAATTCAGTGTCGGCGACCTACACTTCTCCCGTAAGTTTTTTATCTACCTGACTTTCTCTCTCTGTCCGACTCTCAAATGGGCTATACCCGTATCATCAGGTAGCCAGCTAACCATATCCAAGAGGGCGACGGAGAAATCTCCTTTTGCGGCGCCATCGAGATGGCGGGCGTCATCACGATAAACTTCAAAGTCATCAAGAACGGCGTCGCCGACCTGGACCTAAAGTCACCCATCTATATCCCCGGCCCCGTCGAGCCGCAGTTCGGCCCCGGGCGTCACATTTACTTTGAAGGGTTCTCTGTCGACCAGCACGGCAAGCAGCATTACATGGATGTTACTGTTGCCTATCGCCAGACGTGTCTTCGTACGTTTCCTCCTCTCTCTGTCATCCTTCTCTCCTTTTACTTCTCCCTGGTAGCATTTTCTTCACCGCTTCCTTGAAGTTACAATCGGAAGTAGGATTGGCTGTGTTCGCTAACGCAAACAACAAAAAGGCGTCATCGAATACCTCCGCCGCTTCGGCTACAGCGACTACCAAGTCTACCTCCTTATGTCCTGCGCGCCCATCCAGGGCCACGTCGCGGGCATCGTCGACATTCCCAATGCGTGTACGACCATTGGCCTACCCATGGATATTTTCGACTTTGATATTTCGCCGGGCGCGGGCAAGGTCGAAAAGCGGGACCTGGGCAGCTGCGCTTTCGCGACGGGCGTCACGGAGGGGACTGTTACCAAGGGAGGGGCGAATAGTCAGCATAGCTACGGTGGTGGGTTGACGTATAAGGAGTGAGGAATGAGGAATGAGGCTGGGGTTGTGAAAAGATGATTTGAGTGTGAGATGAGAGGCCTTTTTTTTGAGATGGAAGCTTGGTTTGACTTGTTCCCCCTTTCCCTTCATTTTTTTTGTTACTGTTTCCTTTATATCGCGAGCGATCGAATGAGAATTGCGAAGCCAAGTTTGACTGGAGTCCAATGAGGTTGGGCAAGCGTAGTCACGAGATATTGTAGTCGTCGAGTTTTCATGTGAATTTCACTCATGAGATGCCAAACTCATCGTTCAGCCGTGACATTTCACTTTCCAATGGAATGTCTCGATTTGAAAAACCAAGCCAAACTCCCCAAAGCATCGGCTCCCGTTCCTCATATAACCGTGCCCAACAACTCCGCCCCGCCATGCGTATATCAATAGGCTCTCTGTCTCTATTCATCAAAAGTCCGGAATCTCAGTCATGGCAGTATGTCCCGTCGCGCCCGTATGGATCCTGGCCTCGGCCGTACCGCTACCCAACCAGTCACAGCCAGGAGCATCACACTTGCGCAGCGCATTATCGCCAAAGACAGCACCACCACCAGCACCAGCACCACCAGCAGAAGCACCGGCGCCGCCCGAAGCACCACCACCACCACCACCCGCAGGCTCATCCTTGATCTCGCTGAAGCCCATATGCCCCGTCGCCTTGGCGTGCTTGTTGGCCTCCCGCTGCCCGTTGCCCAGCCAGTCGCACCCGCCCACGGTACACCGCAGCAAGAACTCGGTGGTATCCGTAAAGTAGTGCATCTCGTGCAGCTTGCGAATCAGCGCGCGCGTGCGGTCGAGAACCTCGTCGTCGGCGGTGCTCCAGTTTGTCCTGTCGAGTTCCGGGGGCAGGTCCGAGTGGGAGTAGTCGGGCGGCTCCGAGGGGCTGCAGGCGATGCGGTCGTAATGGATGCCCGAGTAGACGAGGATGCACCGCGATTCTTTATTCTCGCCGAAGCGCAGCGGGTTCTGGGATTTGACGTCGAAAGCGACGACCTCGAGATCGAAGAGGTCCGAGAAGATGCCGAGCTCGATGGCGCCGCCCCAGCGTTCTGGGTCTTGGATTGTGCGGATGTACTTTTCGACGGGCATGTCGAGGACGGCTTCGGGGTAGTCGTCTGGGTGCTGGCGGATGTAGTCTGCTACCATTTTGCGGAGCTCCTTGGCTTCCATTTGTTTGCCTGGGATGGCGCCGCCGAAGGCGGTGAAGAGGCAGCTGTTGTCGTCGGGCATCACGCGGAGGACTTGGGTTACGTGTCAGATGAGAGATGCAGTTTGGGGATGGGAGTGGGCAGGTACTCACGTAACGTCGACTCGCGCTCCGGCCACGGGATGCTGATGTCCGAAGGGGACGGGTCGGCATCGGGGTTGAAGCGGGGTTTCTTGGACGCTTCCGGGCCTCGAGATGCCGGAGCGGCGGCGGCGGGCGGTGGTGTGATTGCGCGATGGTGGGCCGGCTCGATGCTGAAGGACTGGCCGTTGAGGCCGAGGTCTTTGGCGTTGGCGTCCTTGTGCTCGAGGGTCAGGGTCTGGAGGGGCCAGCCGTACTTGAGGCTGAATTCGGCGATGCCCGTCTTGTCCTTGATCTCATTGAAGAGGTCCCCGACTGTTGCGGTGTCCTCGAGGGAGACGACGCCTGTGCCTCCCGGACCCTTGTATCTGGCTCTCATTGTGAATGTGGATGTGGACGTGCTTTGCTGAAGCTGAAGGGATCTGTGAGATGATGAGTATGCGGGTCAAAGTCAAGATAGCAAGCTGAATAGATGTCTGATGGCGCAGTGACGCACAGGCTTCAAATTGAGATAGAGTAGCGACTGACGGTAGACGACGATCTTGGGCGGGAACGGATCCGGACGGACAACTGATGGTCACCAAGCTCTTGATGGCGGGGTTCGAACGGAGGGGTTTATCTTATCGCAGAGTACCAACGGCGGGTTCTCACTCTGGAGACTCGAGTGCCAAAGAATCTGGACGGGAGACGTAAGGTAGGTAAGTACGTGCGTTGAGTTGGACCGATTGGACTCAAGTTTCGATCCTGATTAGCTTCGTAGAGTCTTCCGGTGTGAGACAAGTGAGGCGAGGGTCCTCGGCGAAGGAGGCGGGAGGGACGCTTCTGCAGCTTTGTTGGATCCAAAACGATGGAGTTGACTTGCAGCGGTGACACCGCAAGGTTAAGGTAAGGTAGAGTAGAGCAACTGCCGCCGAGAGTTCGGATGCACTAGAAGCTTCTCCGCTTATGAAGTAGCTCTAGAAAGCTGCTTTGAACAGGTCGTGTGATGCTGGGAACGTGGGACGGAGCGGGAAATCGAGTCTGAGCGTTTCGACAGCTGGAACGTAGTAGGTATGTCAACCTAAGCACCCAAGATGGGCTAGGTCAGACCGAGGCTCTGGACCGCTCTGGTAGGGCAGCAGCTTTGTCCGACTCGAGAACCTAGTGTAGAGGATGACGGCGTCCACAGCTTGGTCCCGGTGCTGGGATTGGAGGTTTGTGCTTGTCTTTGATTGTTTCCGAGTGGAGAACTACTCCAATAAACGCTGCTGCAGTGACAATGACTTCATGGTTCCACGTTGCAATCGCCCACTTTGTCTTTCCTCCCCCCGAGTGCTTATAGAGTTGGTAGCTAAGTAGCGTTGACAGTATGTTGCGAGCTATGAAGAGTGTTGATATAGAGCTGAGGATAGCTGTCTCCATTACCGTGGGACAGGTATTAAGTATCCCGTACATAGAACTGAGATATAGGATACCATAGCGCCAGGCCGGAGAGGTATTATCACAAGAACGAACTCTTACTGCTGTCCACAACACTTCGAGAAACATACCCTAATGATATCTCAGTGAAAGACTTGATCAGCTAACCAATGTGTCTTTTCTTTGCTTCTCTATATCATGATGAAAGAGAAGCTATTCAAAGAGGTGAGGAGTAAGGTACAAAAGATAGCACCTTCAAGTTCCTCCTCGCCCGTTTGGACAGCTAAAGGTACATCTTGAGGTACAAGAAACCATTGATCCAAGTCTCGTCCAATTGCCCGCCGCCAATGCGCCAGTTAGCCGAGGTGGAGCCGGAAGAGGCCACGACCGGCCCCGGGCTGGTTCCTTGCTAACATCCCCTCCCAGCACCACTTGTACCCGTAGCACCCTGGCCAGCTCCCGCCTCACTGCTTTCGCAAACCTTCAATTCCTCAGCTTCCCCCAAAGAAACGTAGTAACTTGTAAAATCCCACCTTTGCGACGGAAGCCCTCGACCCCTTCTTGTGCCCGACCTTGCCAATCAAGAGGGTCCAGTGTCTCGCTCGAATCCTTGTGCTTTCAATTGTCACCAGAGAGAAAAGGATTCCCTAAGCTGCCTTCGTTCTGCGATTCCCCAAAGAGGTTGGACGGAACTATGGCGACGCGCAGCGACGCGCCCGAAGTGCGCGAGTCCATCGAGGCCAAGGTCACCAAAGATGTCGAAATGACCGACGCACCCGACGCCAGCACCACCGAAGCCAAGCAACCCGAGCCGACTGTCTCTGCGGAACCGCCGCAATCTGACAAAATGGACATCGACGCGGGTGCGAATGCCGACGCCGATGCCGATGCCGATGCCGATGCGGACGCGGAAGGTGAAGTGGATGCAGACGGCGACGTGGACGCCGACGCAGACGCAGACGTAGACGCAGATGGCGAAGTTGACGCAGACGCTGATGCAGATGGAGACCCAGATGATGGTGTCGCATCACCCGTGGAATCCGAGCCTGGCGACCTTTTGGATGTCATCCAAACTATCAGCTCAACTGTGAGCAACTACAAGGATGAAGAGTACGTTCGGATTAGACGCACCCTTTGCCTGTCCTGCTGCTAATTACTTGTCATCGCAGCGGTGAATGGTGGGCGGCTAGTTTCCAGCGCATCCCGAACAAGCGTCAACTGCCAGATTACTTTGAGATCATTGAGAACCCCATCGCCTTTAGTACCATTCGCGTATGTTCTACCTACCCGTGGAGCCTTATTAGCACGACACGAGACTGACCCCGAGCAGCACAAGATTCAAAAAAAGCTGTACACAGATTTCCCCGAGTTCGTTCGCGATCTTGCACAGATTTGTCACAATGCGCAGGTTTACAACCGGCCTTCCTCGGCCATATTTAAGAGTGCCACCGTCATCCGAGACCTTTTCAAGAAGGAGTTACAGAAACTTGTTGCCAAAGGCACCATCAAGTCTGAAGAGGCTGAGCTTCCCGACTTGGGCGAGCTCCCGCCCGCGGAAGACTCATCGCCAGAGGCCGAATCCGAAGAGGACGAAGGAGAAGAGGAGGAGGAGGAAGAGGAAGAGGAGGAAGACGATGAGTCCGACGATGACGGAAAACGTCGACGAAGCAGGAGGCGTGGCCGGACTTCACTCACCAAGCGCCAGCTCGAGGAGGCCCGGGAGGAAGACGAACATAAGAAGCGCGGCCGCCCTCCCAAAGTCTTGACACCGCTCGAGGCGCGTATTCACAACGTCATCAAGGGCCTGCGCAAGTTCCAGTCAGACGACGGTGACCTGCTCATTGGTCCCTTTGAGAAGCTGCCCGATAAGCTTGCGAACCCGGACTATTACCAGGTCATCACCAACCCCATTGCGCTCGACAACATCAAGAGGAATGCTAAGAGGAAGAAATACTCGACTGTCGACGATGCGCTCAAGGATATCGATCTCATGTTCAACAACGCAAAGGAGTACAATGAGGAGGCCAGTGATATTTACGAAGCCGCCGTCGAGCTGCAGAAGCAAGCACGTGAGCTGGTTGCGCAGGAAAAGTCGAGGCCGGACGATGAATTCCGTGACGAGGATGGCAAGCTGCCACTATCGGAAATTCAGCACAATGGCCAGGCATGGCGAGTCGGTACGTTTTGTTCCGGTACCTGGGCTGGTTAAAATGATGACTTGGGGTGAGTGCTAACAACTCCTGTGTAGGCGACTGGGTGCATATTCGCAATGTCAACGACATGGCCAAGCCCATTGTTGCGCAAATATTCCGAACTTGGCAAGACCGAGCAGGACAGCGATGGATCAACGCCTGCTGGTACTACCGTCCCGAGCAGACGGTGCACAGGTTCGAGAAGCACTTTTTCGAGAACGAGGTGGCTAAGACGGGCCAGTACCGCGACCACCAGATCGAAGAGGTGCTCGACCGATGCTTCGTCATGTTCGTTACGCGGTTCAATAAAGGACGGCCGCGTACGCTGCCGGCGGATAAGGAGGTGTACGTGTGCGAGTCTCGGTACAACGAGGCGACTTGTAAATTCAACAAGATCAAGACGTGGACGAGCTGCGTGCCCGACGAAGTGCGGGAGAAGGACTACGAGATGAAGCTGTTTGATCAGCCGCGGCGGCTCAAGAAGGTGCCTAGCCCGATCAAACACTTACTGCAGGCGGATGCGAAGGAAACGGATGAGCTCCCGAAGCCGACCTGGGGGGCTGCAAACGCACCGCCCATTATTGGTGCCGTGCATCGGCGCCCTCGAGAATCAAACGTGAGTTTGGATGTGATTCATCTGGTTTTCCCTGCTGTTGTTTCTTTCGTTTGGTCTATCAGACTGGTGGTTCTGGGCCGGCTTGTCATTACGGGTGTGTGTTTCTTGCACGAATACCTCCACGCTGGAATACCACACAGCCTTACCGTGCCGCCTCCTGGATGAAGGAGGTGGATGGGACAATTGCCAACCCTCCAACAGCACCAGCACCACCACCACCACACCCTCTCGTCGTCCCTCTCGGTTATGCAGTGCAGTGCAGGCAGATAAAGGGAGCGACGCGTGTGGGATAACAACACCCTGCATCCCGTATCAGACGTGCTTTGCAGCAGAATTTTGTGCCCTCACCTCTTGCTCTCACTCTTGTTCTCATCCTCATCCTCATCCTCATCCTCACCCTCACCTTCACTTTTGCTTTGCAATTTTCAAACTCACCCTCAATTTCACTCTTTTTATTGCGCGTTAGTTTTTTCTACTCTTGCAGCCTACCTTTTGGGCTTCACTTGACCTTCACCTTGGTTCACCATTGCTGACAAAATTGACTTTGGTCGTACAGGAATCTCCTCCACCTGAGCCCACGCCTTCTCCGCCGCCCATGAGCCAAGAGCCTGCGCGACGGCCTTCAGTTCTTCAGGCGATGCGCCAGACGCCGAGCGACATGTCGATGGGTAATCCTCCCACGCCTTATGGGCACGGAATGGGAGCTGCGCCGTCTCCGTCGCCAGCAATGTATGCTCAGCAGTACACGCCTCAGCATGCTTCAGCATCGCCAGTCGCGGTGAACCATCAAACGCCGGTGCCTCTACCCCAACTTCCTCACCAGGCGTCTCACTCTCCGCAGCAGCCCATCCGCCCCATGTACCAGCAGCAGGGATTTGCGCCTAGCCCGTTCCAGCACCAGCAACACCCACAGCGCCCACAGCACCATCAGCAGCAGCAGCAGCAGCAGCACCATCCCCACCACGCACCACAGCATATGCACCCTCAGCAGCAGCAGCAACACAACCACCAAGGCCCTGCCCCTCCAGCGCCTCAGTTCCAGCAGCACCAACAGCAGCACCACCTCCCGCCGCACCATCAGGCCCAAGCGCCGGTCCCACAGCAGCAGCACCACCACCAGCAACAGCACGGCCACCACCAAATGCATCCACAAATGATGCCAGCAAATCCCATGGGCGGACCGACCTACAACCATCATCAAATGCAGCCTCATCCCGCTGCAGCCCGCACCCCCATGGCCAACACGCCCAATGCCATGCAGCCCGCCAATGCCTACAACCCCCCTAGGCCTCCCGAGGTTTTTACCCTGGCCGAATCCCTCAACGACCAGATCCCCGAAGAGGTGCGCAGCCAGTACAACAGGGACGAGAACGGCAGAATCTTTTTCTACTCTACACCGCCCATCGCCCGCCCCGAACACGGCCTCGCCCCGGACAATGCCAACTCGGGCCACAGCCTCGCCTACCTTGCTAAGAGCAACCCGCAATGGCTGGCCGAACGCGCCTCCCGCGCAAAGCCCTTTGCCGTCGCCAAGCAGAAGGAGTTGAAGGTCAAGATGGCCCTCGACAAGGTCACCGAACCCGCCAAGGGGAAGACGGGCGATGAGCTGCGCGACTGGGCCGCCGATTCCCTGGTCCGCTACGTCGAGGCGCACGCCCAGGAAACGTCGCGCATGCGCGAGGATGGCGATCTGGACGGGCATGATCGCCTCATGAAGGAGCAGCGCGCCGCCCGCCGCAAGAAGACGAGAAAGGAATTGGAAGAGGAGGAGGAGCGAGCCGACGAGGCGAAGCGTGCCAATTACCTTGAGGACATCTACTTTGTCCACTCCAGTCTGCGCACGCCCAAGCCTGCTCACTGATTGATGGATTGAACAACGTCAATGTGTATTCTAATCGACACCATCCCTGCTTATCTCCGTCCCTTGGATTGTAGTAGGCTTGCATCCAAGGGCCTTGATTGTGGCAGGGAGGATCGATCTCCTGGGTAGAAAGGGAGCGGAGTTTTTTCGGCGGGTCGGACTGCTGTGATACCTATTGGCTTTTTGGAGTTTTGAGGGGGGAACGAAATGGCTCATTGTATCAAAAAGATTATCATCGTCAGGGCATCATGATACGCTATTCATGATGCCTGTTCAAGTACCTAATTTGCACAATTGAGATGAACAGTATTCAGAGCTCCCGTTGTCTCCAGTCGTGTTGATTATCATAACCTTTGATGAACTTATAGTCTACAAGGAGGGGCGGCCAATTGTTGATGGATGTTCAATCTAATGATAACTTTCACTTGGTATCTATTTATGAGCATTAATCCAAGTGCGTTTGCCACGATCCGAATCCGAATGGCTGATTCTAAAATCCTGAGCTCATACCGAATCCATCAGCGATACGCTGAACCAGACACCTTCATGTTCTCCAATACCATGCACCCTCCAACCTCGAAGCCTTTGAAGGGAGTGGGACATACAGAAATGAACAAGACAAAGGGGCTGAACGTGGAAGCCAAGCTCTGTGAGTGGCTGGCGGCTGTCCCTGCGCCTGTCGAGGGAGCGGCCCGGCCGAGTTCCTCCGGCTATCTTTACCTTACCTTACCTTCCCTAACTTAAGGTCTGGAAACCTTCTATGCTTCTTTGGCAGTTTTTTGCCTCAGGACCCTTGGCCCATAATAAATGCTGCTTTGCACCAATAAGACGCAGATAGACGGAGGCTTCGAGTGCAGCGAACCCGACAGGTTCGAGCAGGGCCCGACTAGGGGTACTAGCGTAGATCTGATTCGCCCCCCCCGAGGTCATGTGCCGGGCTGTGTGACTCTACCGCTGAATCTTGAGCGAGTTACTTAGCATTTGGATGTTCTATCTCTGACGAGATCTCAATGTTGAGATGCACCAAATTGACCAAATGAAAGCTGTTCATTCCTATAAGGCTGCTTCTACTCAGTCAATCTTTGGAAACTCACAAAAGATGTGAAACGAATACTCTGCCAATCGACATATGAATCGCAAATGTTAGTGTATTAAATAGAGTAAACCCACCATCCGACCCAAGCGGACGTTTGTGGTGCCGCCCACTTTACACTCAGAGCCACCTTAGAGATCGGACCCTTGCCTTTGGGCGAACCGATTCGCGTGGTGAGGGGCAAATGCAGCGCAACACGCTAATTGAGCCTCTCCAAAGGCGGCTAAGACTGATTCGCTGACGTTCTTGACTTCTAGTTCCGACTACACCTCTCACCTCTCCTTACTCTTACTCATAACCGCCTTTCGCCTTCTCACTTCCGACTTCATCTTTCTACCTCAACCCTCTCTCTCAACCCGCGAGTATACGTTCGTCTTCACCCTCTTAACCCCGAGGAAACCGACACACGCACACATCCGATCGTCCAACTTCTCTCACCCACCCAACTTAGTTTCTTCTTTCCTGATCGTTTATCCGGGTGTATCTGGTTGAAGCATTTCGGCTAGTGGCGTTCATCCACCAAGTCTTGAACCCTTCTTCTTGTCGTCGGACCGAGGACTTAGAATTCGTTTCCAAAGTCTTTGCTTTCTTTTTCTTTACCTTGCTGTGCTTGTCTCTCTCTTGAGTTCGAGCCATCCGCGATTCTCCCGGTCTTTATTCTGCATAGCCCGTCCTTGTTCTCTTGGGTGGCGTCGGCGTTTCGTTCGGATTGTAGGAAAACTTTACGACTTGACGGCTCCAACACATCCACGGCTCACATCGGTGTTTCGCCTCTATCTTGCTCTCAGTCACCTTTCTGATTGAGATATCTGGTTACATCGAATTCTTCATTAGGTGTCAATTGAAGGGTCCAAGCCAAAACCGACTCGAGGCTATCGACAACAGAGCCTTGTCACTGTTCGATACAACGATCGGCATTTCTCCTCTCTACATTTCCAGCGACCTGGGAAGTCTAGTAACCCGGCCGTCCAAGATCTACGGCCACTTCCGAACCTCGGAACCGAGAGTGTACTTGGGCCAGCCAGGCCAGCACCAAAGACTAAATCGACAACTGGGTCGCCATAGCCTCAGTATCAAATCAATCCCCTTCTGTTCCCAATCTGTTCGGCCAAGATTTACGGCCGCTCGAAATCCCTGAAGCAAAGTTTGAGTCAGAGACTCAGCCAGAACAGAGGTTCTATCGCGAACTTTGGCTTTTGAGAACCCGGTCTGGTTCTCGATCAACATATACGGCCAGCTTCTAGGTGGTCGCTCAGGGCAAAGTTTGCCATCTTCGATGAGTACCACGGTTTCCACGATTGATTCCGCATTCGCCAAACTCAATTCCCTCCCGCCACGGCCCAGGGGCTCGGTCACAACACCCAACCTTGATCCTCTTTCTGGGATTCCCAGAGGGTTCCCGGTACCTTGACTATCACCAAGGGCTTTCAAGAGGGTTCCCGGCACCTTGACTATCACGAACAAACTTCAAGTATCCTTTGGATACAGATAACTTGCTCAGAGATACCACACGGGTTCACATCGTCGGCTTCATTTCCAGCACTATAAGATGGACTCCCAAACCTCTTCTCTGCAGTCCTCGGACGTAGCAGAAACATCTCACTCATCTCCTATTTCTCCTACACAACCACCTACTTCCTTGGGAGATTTTAGCAAGCTGTTTGAGAATCTGCGAGTTCGCGAGACTTCTACTTCATCTACACGTATTCTCTCGTCGCCAGACAGAGTCTACTCTTCTTCTTTACATTGCTTTGAGCCTCTTTGCGAGTCAAAGAGTCCCTCAAGCAAACAGTCTCAGCCACTTCTTCTCCTCCCTCTCATATTCACCGCAGAAGAAATGGCTAGAACTGGCAGCAAGCGCAACTACCAGTCCTTGGACTTGGCCGAGGCCAAAAGGCCAAAGGTCGAGTCCAAGGACAAGAAGCCTGTCGCCGCAGCCGTCGCTGTCGGAATGGTAGCTCGGGCCTCTTCAGACTCGGGCTACCATTCCGACTCGTCCGCCGCCGCCGCCGCCGCCGACAACGACAACGCAGGAGAAAGGCTCTTCAACAAGCAAACCGCAAAGAGACCTCCTCCCAGCTCACAGCTCCCCTTGCCCGCCCGTCTACAGCAGCGCTTCGGCGCTCGTGACGAGTCCTTGGCCCTGGCTTACCCGGAGCAATTCGCCCGCGGTCTGTACATCTACGCCGACGGCTCCAACATCTCCGTCTCCTTCTTCAACGACCTCAAGAAGCGCATGGGCATATCCAGAGACCAGCGCCTCTCAACCTCCGCCTTCTCCTTCCACGCATTCAGGGGAATACTCGAACGAGGCAGAGAGGTTAAGGAGGGCGTGATCGTTGGCTCTCGCAATAACAAGGCCGGCAATAACAGATCCTCCTCCTCCGTCCCCCTGTACCTGCAGGAGGCCGAGGCGTGTGATTACACCGCCAAGGTCCTCCAGCGGGTACCCGCAGAAAGTCCCTCGTCTGCGGGCTCCTTCGCCATGAAGGAGCAGGGGGTGGACGAGACGGTCCAGCACCACATGCGCAAGGCCGTGCTCGACAACCTCGGTGCTCCAGGCGTCATGATTCTCGCTACGGGCGACGGCAACCTCGACGGCGATATGGAGGGAGGTTTCCCCGCCGCCGTGCAGTCCGCCCTCGCAAACGGCTGGGTCGTCGAGGTCTACCACTTCGCTGAGTCCGCCCACTCTACCTGGCGCGATCCGCGGTTCCTCCACAACCCGGAATGGGACGGCCGCCTCACATGTCACGCGCTCGACGAGTTCGTGTTTGACATGGACGCGAAGCAGCAGCAGCCCGCCACCCCGCTCGGAGCAGAGGTACCTCGCACAGCAAAGAGGACCAGACGCGAGAGCCGGCCGGCCTACGTGCCGTCTTGGACCCTGCCACCTGCTCAACAGGCAGCCTCCGTCTCTCTTCCCCCGGCAGCAGCGACAGCGGCAGCCGTCACTCCTCCGCCAAGTCCTCCGCTGGAGATGGCACCCGCGAGTCCAGAGGAGATGGCCCAAGCCGGGCAGATAGCCGAGCTGGTGGGCAAGCTCAAGCCGGAGTTAATACCCGTCATCGCTGCCTCCCTCCTCCGCGCCGCCTCGGCCACTCCTCCTCCTACTGCTCCTGCTCCCGCTCCAGCTCTCGCTCCCGCGCGTATTCCTTCCGCAGTACGTGGGGACGCCAGTAGCTTCGCCGGCGGTGTTATGGGCTACTTTGGAGCCCAGCTCCCCTCTCCGCCCGCCCTCTCCGCCTTCCCCCAGCCCTACCCTCTCCAGTACCCCCAAGCCACCTCCCACACGGCGGCCTTGGGCCAGTACCAGTACAACGGGGTCTGGGGGAACCAGGTGGGCAACTATGGGTACACCCGCTGAGTCATCGCGACCAGCCTTTTTAAACTCTCTTCTCTTCCCTTCCTCAAATCCCCTCGTCTATCGTCTTTTCTGCGTTGACTCAGCCGAAAGGTAGCAACCAGGTAGATTCTATAGCTTGGGGAAATGGGAAGGGCAAGACCGGTATATGGGAGGGGTACGCAGGCCTGAAAGACGGCCTGGCCCCGTGGATATTTAGGATGGTATACGGGAGGGGCACGTAGGCCTGAAAGACGGTTCTGGCCCCGAGGATTCTTCGGGTCGCCTTCGGGCTCGCCTTAGGGCTTTTTTGTTTTTTTGGCTTCGGGCAATTTAGGTATATGGGAGGGGTAGCAGGTCTGAAAGACGGCCTGGCCCCGGGGGTTTTTATGGGATTGGTATATGAGAGGGGGATAGGTGCCTGAAATATGGCCCTGATCCCCGTGGATTTGGGGAGGGAGAAGTGGGCAGGTTGGGAGTTTTTTGAACGCGATACTTTTCAGTATGACGTTTTTCTCCCATGTGCTGGTGAGCATAAAATGCGCTGGCGGGCATAAGATGCCT